TTCAGAGGAAACTCATAAGCTCTCCTTTGCCTCAAGAGCCATTAAACACCTCTACCTGCTTTATGAAAAGAGAACAGCTTTCTGAAAATTATTTCAAACAATACAGGAAGCCATAAGGAGCAGAGTCCCTTCTCCCAGGCAGGTGGCAGGTACTCCTTTTCACATATTACAAGTGAGGAGCTCAAGGCACAATCAGTATGGCAGAGAGCCACAGAAATGTCTCTTGGGACTGATCCTGCCACTGCATTTGCAGTGTCAACTGTCCTTTTCCCAGTCTACTTCACCTCCTCAATGTACAATTACAACAGACTTATAATTGGTCCCCTGCCTCTGGTTTTACCTTGTCCAATCCAGCTTTCATCCTGTCAACCAGAGATGTTCTCCTCAAACAGAGAACTGATTTTTTAAAAAATATATATTTTATTGATTTTTTACAGAGAGGAAAGGAGAGGGATAGAGAGTTAGAAACATCAATGAGAGAAACATCGATCAGCTGCCTCCTGCACACCCCCTACTGGGGATGTGACCACAACCAAGGTACATGCCCTTGATCAGAATCGAACCTGGGACCCTTCAGTCCGCAGGCCGATGCTCTATCCATTGAGCCAAACCGGTTAGGGCTAGAGAACTGATTTTTATGACATTCCCTGCTAATGTATCTTCAGTGAGTCCCTGCAATGTTTAAACCAAGCCATTTTTCAAGGCTTTCCATGATATACCCTGACTTACTCTCTTAAAACAGTCTTTATTATGCCTCCATCTTCCAGTGTTTCTAATGCACCCAGCCTTGCTGACCTATTTTGGGGATGGGAGGTAGGGTGGCCTTCAGGCTACTTACTTTGACTGGGTCTCTCAGGGTAGTACCTTGGTTAGCACCTCATACTGACTGTGGGTCCCAAGCTTCATAGGGTCAGAACTTGATTTCCTCTTTGCACCAAGTTTGGATCAGTTTCTTGGGGATGGCTTTGTGTTAATCAAGCTCACAAAAGACCAAGGCATAACTGACAATGCGACTGTCAATTTACAATGAGGATTATAGTAATAAGTGGGCCAGATGCTCTTGCTAATCAGCACATGCAGTAGTAACATAGGAGGCCAAATTACATAAGCATAGCTTTACAGCAAGGGGAGCTGGTAATATGATCAAATGTATGGCTTAAAGCTATGATAGACTATTGCAAACACATCTACAATAGGGATATTTCCATCACAAGGTCAGATTTACCAAAAAAAGCAAATTTAGAATGCTGAGTGACTAGTTGTTCCATATTCTTTGCCTTAAATGATTTTTTTCTTTCTGAGTTTCTAAAGTAAACCACCAACCTTCCCCTCACTCCTCTCAACACATAACAGTACTTTACTCACATTCATTTTCTACCTGTTAATACTTTCATCTAGACTAGAAACTGCTTCTACCCTGCTATTGGCCTGGGACGTAGTCTGTCTATCAGGGGTCTTTGCACATCCCTAAACTCTTCCATTATGATTTGGTATTAATTTTATAATTCAACTCTAAGAGTTCATGGGGAGCCTGGATGGCAATTCTACCACCTATGGTGCCTATACATTCTTGGCTCCTGGCTGTGCCAGTGCCATTTTCTCAGCCTTCAAACCCTTTTCTGCTCCCTCTATCTATTGAAATTCTTACTTGCCAATCAAGACCTTGTTCAAGTCCTAGTTCAATTAAACTTGGTCTTTTCTTTCACAGCCTTTCTATGGCTTAAAAAATGTGTTTAAACGATAACACCCAACTCATTCTAAACTATACCAAAGAAGTAGTTGTTGGCATAGCAGAGTCTATGTAATACCTTCTTATCACGTCTTCTTGCCAATGTATGTGCAATATATTAGAAATAAAATCAGAGGTCCCTTTGTCTAGTCAGCTCCCAAAATAAGCCAATAATTGCTCTTCAATGCAATTTTCTTTTTCTGTCTGTAAGGTTTTTTAAGTTGCTTTGGAATTATTCCTCTTTCTGGACTATTTTTAACTTCTAGAAAGGTTAGGACAACTTTATTAATGCTGGTGAGGCCTCGATGCAGGAGAAAGTATGGAAATATTCTTTTGGCCATAATTTCAGATAAAGCCCATCCCTTTCCACGAGGTAGGTGAGCAGGCAGGGCTTGCAAAGTGCTCTTAGCTGCCTTTCTGAACTGCTCAGACCACCAGATGGGCCAGTGTGAATTGTCCTGTCCAGAGAACCTTTCTCTTACCTCCTTGCTGCACCAATTACTTGATGTTATTCCTTATATCTTTCCTTGGGGGCCTCAGTGTACTTTTAGGTGGGATAAAATGAAGTTCAGCAAGTAATTCGTTTTTGATGGTGCAAAAGATACCAGTGTGTTAACATTTGGATAATGGAAGAAGTGTGAATTCTCTAAAAATAATTTAAAGGATCAAAAGTGGAGGGGGATTGCGGGAGTGAAGAGAACAGGGAACTGCTATACAGTATTTTAATCATAAACCTCAGGACCATTTAACTTTTTAAACTATATGCATGCATTATGTAATTTTTGATAAAATAATTTATTTTTAAAATAATTGTTTTAATTTGAGAGTCCTTATCAGTTCTTAGTGCACTCAAACAGCTCAGTCAGGTTTAAAGTAGAGGCCTAATCCAGTGATTCTCAACCCTGGATGCTCATTATGATGATCGGAGGAGCTTTAAAAATACCAGTGATCCAGCCAGACACCAGACCAATTAAATCAGAATGCCTAGGCATGGGCTTGGACATTGGTATTTATTAAAAGTTGTCCAGATAATTCTAGTTTGCCACCAGGGTTTAGAACATGGGACCCATCTACTAGTCTGTTCTTTCAGTCCTCAAACTTCTCTTCCCATTAGATTGTGAGATCCTTGAGGGTAAGGATGGTCATTTACACATTTTTATTTCCCCAAAAGCAACTAGTGTAGTACCTCAAACATGAGAGGTGCTCATAATTATTTGTTGAATGGATTTGCTACTTTCAGAGGATCAGAATCTACTAGGGATAATGTTTATATTTAATGAAATGAATATCTAATTTTGGAGACTTCAAAGAGATCAATATGGAGAATAATCAGCACTGCAATAATGAAGAATAAGAGGATAATGGAATTTAAGCTGTTTTTTTTAGGCAACAGGCAAAGTTAAAGACCCATGTTGATGGGAGTTCATTAGGTTTGAGTTTGAGATTAGCAATTGGTGGGGACTAAGAATAATTGACTACCTTGCTTGTTCTTAGAATTCTAAATTTTTCTATAGACCTTTAATATAATGGATAAAACAGTTAGTTTGATGAACTAATTTGCCTGCTATAAGAAGTTATAAAACTTACTTTTAAAAAGAAGGGTATCCCTGGCCTGGTAGCTCAGTTGGTTAGAGTATCATCACAATAAACCAAGGTTGCATGTTCAATCCTTGGTCAGGGCCCATACAAGATGTAATCAATGAATGCATAAATAAGTGGAACAACAAATAGATGTTTCTCCCTTTCTCTTTCTCTCCCTTCCTCTCTCTAACATCAGTTATAATATAAATAAATAAAGTTAAAAAAATAAAAAGAAGAGTAGTATACTTCTATTGTGTTAAATTTGAGAAGTGGAGAAAGGCAAATAAAAAGTTCTTATTATCTTGTTACCCAGACACAGGTTTTTTTTTCGAGAAGAGTAGTATACTTCTATTGTGTTAAATTTGAGAAATGGAGAAAGGCAAAATAAAGTTATTATCTTGTTACCCAGGCACAGTTTTTTTTTCATTTTTGCTTATTTCTATTCTTTGTTGATATGCAAAAATATTTTTACATAGTTATGATCAAGTTGTACAATCAACTTTATATCCTGTGCATCTGCTTTTTCATATAACCTTTTTGTTCTAGTTTGTACTATTGTTCCCAATACTTCTCCCTCTCCCTATACCTATACCCTTTATAGTTCCTAACATTAAAGCTGGTGTATATTTTCCCACCCCCTTGATGTGGGCTTGGCTGTGTCACTTTGTTTGGCCAATGAAATGTTAGTGCTGAGGCTTTACGCATTTAGTATTACATCTGTTCTCCTGGGCTTCTGCTCCTGTGAAGACTATGCCTTGGGCAGCCCATCAGTCACTGAGGAATGAGAGATCTGAAGCAGTCTTGAACTCAACTCACGACATGTAGCCAAGTTTGACTGATCCCAACTAGATAGCCAAATCCCAACTGATTTGCAATGTGTAAGTGATAGATAAGTGCTTATTATTGTATGACTGAGATTTCAAGTTTGTTTCTTTTGCAGCAGTAGCTGACTAATGCAGGCATTTCCTCATGTTGTAGCATTGTCTTAAAAATTATCATTTTAAATAGTTGCACAATATCTCAGCTAGATTACACAAAATTTCAATGATCATTCCTCTATTAATTTGGGTCACTAGCAATTTTACACTATTAAAATTAAACTAGGCCCATACTCAGGCATACAACACAACCTTTTCTTCCTTTGGTATATTTATAAATCCCCAGAGATGATATTATTGGATCAAAGGGGTGGCCTAGATAAAGGATTCACCTTATTTATATTGGTTCTGATGGGAAGCGCAAAGAAAAACCCTAATCACTGTACCTGACAACATACAGAGTTGTTGCCTTAAGAGAACAAAATGCTGACATCAGGACTACAAAGTTCTGAACCCATGTCTGCCTGACTCCAAAGTCCATTTTAGCCTCTATGCTTTTCTGCTTTCCTGTACATCGAAGTTACAGACAGGAGTCTCCATGACCTGCGATCTGATGTTGAAATCAAGATTGAGTATATTTATAATATTTGTGATATTAAGCAACATGGTTATTGTTAGTTTCTAAAATTTTTCTACAAAATCGATATAAGTAAAATGACTTACATAACAAAAATATTTAGAGAAAAGCGTATTCTACACTAAGAAACTTAATATACATTTCATTTCTAAGTCTATATAGGTTTACAGTTGTTCCGATGGAAAATAATACAATAATTAATAAATAATAATACAAGAATAAATTCTGTGCTTCTCATACTCACAACTGTAAACCTGCTTTTGCCCCACCCTGGATAATGACATCACGGAAAGCTTAGAAAATAGAGGACAAAAGAAAACTCATCCCCAGTATTACCACCATATCACACAATTTGTCATTTTTGCTTATTCATTTCCAGTGTGGGTCCATTGACCGATATATTTTAGCAGAGCTGTAATCATTGTGTACATTTCATTTTTCATCCTGTTTGGGTTGAGTTTTCTGGAAGCCATTCCGATTCTTCTATGTGAGACATTTTCCACACTGCAGCCTAGGATAGGGCAACTCTCGGTGCAGAGGAGCCTCTCACATTCCATTTGATTTCTTGGCCCAGTCCACCTGAGTTTATACCTACAGAGAGGAAGACGGTGACGGGCAGTAAAGGATCCAAAGCTCATCACCAAGCTCCATGAAATATGGGGGTGGGGTGGAATGAAGTTGTTTTAGGGAACTCGGCAACAGAGCTCCACAATTAGGACAGAAGCATTCTTCCTCCCTGGCTTTGGTGGTTGTGCCATCCCTGCAAAATGGCAGCTGCCAGGAGCACAACTCAGGAGGACTGTAGAACAAACCTTCACTTGTACAAAAAAACCTAAACAGAGTTTTCCAGCTTTGCCCAGTAAAAATCACCTGGAGTGACTGTTAAACTTCCAGATCCCTGGTCCCCTCTCAGCTCTAGGACAGGTGCTTGAGACTAATTTGGAGATTCTGTGGGAAATATTGTATTGAATGTTGAGATGGGTGGAAAAACACCCACCCACTACTTAGAATCCTACCCAGGAATGACCAGCTTCCATTCGACAGAGCCTTGGACCTAAACAGAGTTTTCCAGCTTTGCCCAGTAAAAATCGCCTGGAGTGACTGTTAAACTTCCAGATCCCTGGGCCCCTCTCAGCTCTAGGACAGGTGCTTGAGACTAATTGGAGATTCTGTGGGAAATATTGTATTGAATGTTGAAATGGGTGGAAAAACATCCACCCACTACTTAGAATCCTACCCAGAAAAGACCAGCTTCCATTCGACTGAGCCTTGAGGTACCCATGTACTTGTGTGGGTTTCAAGTCAGATGTGACAAGGTTCAAATATGAACTCAAGCACCCAAATGTGATTTGGGCAAATTAACTGGTCTTTCTTAAAAAAAAAAAAATCTATATCTATCTCTATGTGTGTGTATGTATTTTATTGATTTCAGAGAGGAAGGGAGAGGAAGAGAGAGAAACATCAATGATGAGAGTATCATTGATTGGCTGCCTCCTGCACGCCCCCCCCCTGGGGATCAAGCCTGGAACCTGGGCATGTGCCCTTGACCAGGATCGAACCTGGGACCCTTTAGTTCACAAGCCAGCACTCTATCCACTGAGCCAAACCAGCTAGGGCTGATCTTCCTTTTGTAAAATGGAAATAACATACCTCAGATGATTGTTGTGAAGATTAAGTGCTTTATTTCATGTGATTGGCACAAACCAAAGTGTCTACAACCAGTAGCTATTAAACTAAATTCTCAGTGCTTGCCAGATAAAGTATACTAGAGGCCCAGTGCCTGAAATGTGTGCACTGGAGGTGTGGGGTGGGGGGTCCCTCAGCCAGGCCTGTGCCCTCTTGCAGTCTGGAACCCCTCAGCGGATGTCCACCTGCAGGCTTTGGCCTGTGGGGAGCGCACTGACCACCAGGGGGCAGCTCCTGCATTGAGCGTCTGCTCCCTGGTGGTTAGTTCATAGCGACCAGTCATTCTACTGTTTGGTCGATTTGCATATTAGGGTTTTATTATATAGGATAGGATATTGAATGTGAACTGTAAATGAAAAATGAAATTTAAAAAAGAACCAAATAACATTTAGATCTGAAAAATTTTTAATATATATATATATATTTTTAATTTTCACCTGAGGATGTTTTTAAAATTGATTTTTAGAGAGAAAAACATCTATGTGACAGAGAAATACCAGTAGGCTGCCTCTGCACCTGCTGACCCACCGGGATCTGACCTAAACCTAAGTATGTGCCCTAATCTAGAATCCAACAGGAAATCCTTTGGTGTACAGGTTGAGACTCCAACCAATTGAGCCACCTGGCCAGGGCAGATCTGAAAAAATTTTTTAAATGTACCTCCAGGCCCTAGTTGGTGTGGACCAGTAGTTAGAGTGTCCTCTCACGCCCTCCAGGCCCTGGTTGGTGTGGATCAGTAGTTAGAGTGTCCTCCCACGCACCAAAGGGTCATGAGTTCGATTCCAGGTGAGGGCACATACACAGGTTGTGGGTTGCTTGGGCAACTGATTGATGTTTCTCTTTCTCTTTCCCTCTCCCTTCCTCTCTCTCTAGAATCAATGAAAAAAACATATCCTTAGAGGAGGACTTAAAAAGAAAATAAATGCTGGTTTGGTTCAGTGGATAGTGTTTCTGCAGGCAGACTGAAGGGTACTGGGTTGGATTCAGATCAAGGGCACATACCTGGGTTGCAGACTCAATCCGGGGCCCTGGTCAGAAATTCAGCGAGAGGCAACCAATTGATGTCTCTCACATTAATTTCCGTCTTCTGTCCTCCCTTCCACGCTCTCTAAAAAAAAATCAATGGAAAAATGTCCTCAGGTGAGGATTAACCAAGACAAACAAACAAACATCCATCCCCAGTGTGATTATTGAAGGAGTATATGAAGTATTTGTTGAATGAGCAGGAAGGGATGGGAGTTTGCTTTCTAACTGTTTTAGCAACTCTGCAAGCCAGAGGGTGTATTTTTTAATTTTTTTTTTAAATATATATTTTTATTGCTTAAATTATTACAAAGAGTATTACTATTGATTATTTTAGAGAGAGGAAGGGAGCGAGAGAAACACCAGTGTGTTGTTCCACTTATTATGCACTCTTTGGTTGCTTCTTGTCTGGACCCTGACCAGGAATCCAACCTGCAACTTTGCTGTATCAAGAGGAGGTTCTAACCCACTGCACTGCACACTGCCTGTCAGGGCCCCTCAACAAAACCCCTCTGGCATGCCCTGGCCCCTGCTGTGTCTGGGATCCATTCTGTGAGGGCACCTACTTAGGTTTAGGGTTTGATCCCCGGTCGGGGCTGACTGCTGCTCAGGAAGTGACTCAGGACCGTTGAGGTCTGTGTGCTGTACATCATTGGGCACAGAGCTGGGGTTCCATTGCTGACAGGGCCGACTCCGATCCCCGCTACCCCCGCTCCTCCATCCAGGACGACTTCAACTATGACAGCTGCGTGGCCTCCACCAGCATACACATCCGCATGGATAGGTCACCCTTTCCGCGCTTCACTCAGCCCGGCTGCTGCACAGTTGCCCCGGGAGGCGGATTTACGGGGTCCCAGAGAGAGGACCCTCCATGCCGGACTCCCAGGAAGAGTGGGGTCCCGGGAGAAAGCACTTCGCTCCGCCTCCCCTCGTGGCTTCCGGCCTGACGCCCATCGTGCACATAGAGGCCTCCTAGCTGGGTACTGAGAAAACGAAACTGGAGCCCTTCCTCCTTGAACCCTGTCGTCTTCAGTGTAGAAAGGGACAGATGAAAACCTCAGCAGCCTTACTGGGGCATCTTTAAATGAAAAGATACCAGAGGTTATTTTTTTCGGTGAAAATAAGTTTATTGTGTAATCAATATTGTGTAATCATTGTGATTTATTGTATAATCATTGTGATTACACAATAACCTGCACTGAGTTATCTGCTGGGATGTTTGTGCTTTCAGGCATGTGAACGCATTTTATTTTATTTGATGCAGCCTCACATCCCCCGGCCTCACGCACACGCAGCCCAGTTGTTCGGTGTGAGGGCATTAGGACCATTTGCATATTACCCTTTTATTAGTATAGATGGTCAAAGACTCAGTGATTGGGAGATGTTACTTTATCAGCATTGTTACTTAACCTTTTTGAAGCGTAGTTTCTTCCTAGAGATAATCAGCGTATAGGATTTAGCACAACACTAAATCCTCTGTACACATGGTTAAGACATTCTCTGGACCCCGCTGAGTTTTTCTCACTGGACACTTTTCAAGCATGATTTTTTTTTAAAATATATTTTATTGATTTTTTACAGAGAGGAAGGGAGAGGGAGAGAGAGTTAGAAACACAGATGAGAGAGAAACATCGATCAGCTGCCTCCTGCACACCCCTCACTGGGGATGTGCCCGCAACCAACGTACATGCCCCTGACCGGAATCGAACCTGGGACCCTTGAGTCCGCAGGCCGACGCTCTATCCACTGAGCCAAACCGGCTGGGCTCAAGCATATAAGTGTTTTTATAAAATTGATTTTTAGAGAGAGAGGAAGGGAGAGGGAGAGAGAGAAACAGCGATTGGTTGTCTCCCACATGTACCCTAACAAGGGATCAAACCCATAACCAGGGAATGTGCCCCAACCAAGTGAGCCACACCAGCTCAAGTTCGATTAAAAAAAAAAAAATTGCTGTGTCTTCAGGGGGTTATTTGTAGATTCTAATACTTTTCTGCACTCAGATAATTACTCTGTTTGACACACGTAGGCAACATCATGAAGTGATAATGCTGGCCATATTGGAAACAGATTTGGTACAAACTAGATTTATGTGGCAGTCTGTGATACTAGTAATTTCTGTGAACAGTGAGCCTGGAGATAGTAATAACGGGAGGTAGTAAATGGGAGTACAGTAGCTCCTGGCTGACCATAGAATTACCTGGGATCTTAAAAATAGATCCACTGTTAGATTCTGAATGTCTAGGGCGGAGCCCTAGAATCTGCATTTTTTAAAAAGTGTGCTGAAAGATTGGGAACTTGGTTGTAACGTATTTTTTCTTTTTGCAATGCAAGGGACTTAAGCTTTGATTGCCAGGCATTCGTTTCAAAGAGGATCTACTTCAAAGAAGACAGTCTTGAATAAACATATTACCTAGCCACGGGACAATGTAAAGAGCCAGGCCATCTCCTCCTACTAAGATTCCTTTGTTTTAGAGATCTTGGTTGATTTCATAACTGATCATTTGGGCTGCTGTTTCTTTAAATTTTCTCCTGCTTTAACTTCCCGCTCAAATGTTTTCAAATCCACCAATGAGGAGTGAGCCGCAAAACCTTAGGCGCCATCTTCAACTTCAATCAGAAGCAGAACTCCAGGCCAGTGCCTTCTCTCTCTTTCTCTACCGGCAACCTCGCTGTGTAACCCGAAGTGTTCTGTGCCATTTCCAGGTCCTGTAAGTAAAAAACCTTTATGCTTTTCAGTTACCTGATGATTACTGCTGAAGGGCGTCTTGCAATAATAAGAAGAACCACGTTGTTATTGACAGGATGAGACTGCATAAAACACTGGCTCATGACATCTCAAACTAAATTCCCTCTAGGACACAACACCTTTCCTCATAGTTAAAAATGATTACTAAAGCCATACTGTAATAATTCTTGAAATCTGTAAGGATGGACACATGAAAGAAACCAAACAAGAAATCTGTACGGATGGACACATGAAAGAAACTAAACAAGAGCTTTCTGCTGGATTTCCTATTGATTTGGCCGATAATGCTGTTGCTATTGTTCTAAGCTTCTTCTGTTTACCACATTGATTTGTAACTTCCCTCCTACACAAGTGACAGCCTACACAAGTCACTTTTCTTCATGGGGGCTCAGATTTCAGAGCCATAGCCCTCAGTCCTGACCGGAACAGATCGGGACTCCAGGAGTTTTGTCTCTAACATCCCAACCCCGAGGAATCTTCTAATTCCCAAGGTCAGTACAGACTGTCTGGAAAGACCCACGCCTTGCCAGTTCAACAGAAAGTATGGTCTTAAAAGAGATTAAAAAAACCCACAACTCTGCCCTGGCCAGTGTGCTCTGTGACTAGAGAATCACTGACCCCACCCCCACACCGAAGGGCCTAGGGTTTGACTCCTGGTCAAGGGTACGTACCTGGGTTGCAGGTTTGATCCCCAGGCCCCCGTTGGGGGCAACCAGTGGATGTGTCTCTCACATCAAAGTTTCTCTCCCTCCTTCCCTCCCTCCCTTCCACTCTCTCTCTGAAAATCAATGGAAGAAATATCCTCAGGTGAGGATTAACAACAACAACAAAAAACCCTCTAAGATGAAAATCCACCCTGTGACCCTTCCCGATATATCTTGCCTGTAAATTTAGGCAAGAGAGTATGAGGTGGACACGAACAGCCACACATTTCATAAATGAATGAAATAGACAGTGAGAACTGGTCTGTAGATGGGACTCACCTTCTTGCTCAGGCCAGCAATGCAGGATTCCAGTCCAGAAAACCTGGCAGAGTTCTGAGACAGACTGTGGTGTAAGGGGGTTGGTTATATAGGGTAAGCCAATCAAGCATCTGGGGGAAAAAAAACTTTCAAATGAGAAAGGGAGGAGCTAGAGCTTTGGCGGGAGGGGATGACTGTTCAAATTACTGGTCAGGTTTTTTTGTTTTCATAGTATATACACATTCATTTTCAGGAGAAACTTAAGCTATATTGATTGGGAAGCTCTGACCCATTTGGATTTTCCAGGTTATTTTTGCAAGTGTCAAAAGTACATGTGGTTGTTTTGTTCACCAACATTAATCAAAAGCACTGGGAAGTGCTTTTACACAAGTTGCTTCTTCAAATCTTTTTGGTGATGGGGCACACATGAATATATAACTATGAACATTTCAGAGAAATAGTTGGCATTCTAGAATAGGAAAACAATAATCTGTAACAACAGATGTTTATTTTACTAGACACAGCAACACCTACATATATTCTCTACACATCAATTGGCACAGCCATTATTATAACAAATTTTTTCATTACTTCAGCCATAAATGTAAGATGATTATTTAGACCCAAATTAAATAAACGATTTCCGTATGTGTGTGAATAAATTACTGGAGACAATAATTAGGCATTGAGGTGGGGGAAATAAATCCGAGCTCATTTAATCCTGGTTTTAATTCTGAGCAGGCCATAACTTCTCTTCGTCTGTGTGAAATACACAGCATATGCTTGGGGCGGACGGAGCCAGGATGTAGGATGCGTCTGTTGTTTCTTTGAGGGTCGTAATCTTCTGAGTCCCGGGGTAGCCTAACCTACTTTCCGGGTGGGGCCCCAGGCAGAGGCTCCCCACACTCCAAAGCACTCCTTAAGCCGCATTTCCAAAGTAGTTCCCCAAGCTGTGGTCCCCACGCTGCCCTGCAGGAGCCTCGCTGGCCAGGGCTCGCGGGAGCGTCGCTGACTTTGGACACCGGGGGAAGCTACTCGGTCGGCGGTGGGGGAGCCACAGCGAAGTTGCAGCACTGGGCGCAGGAGGCGTAGGGCGCAGGCGCAGGTGAGGAGCGCGCAAGGGAGGGGGTGAAAGGCGGAAGCGGGCGGGAGAGGAGCGCGCAAGGGAGGGGGTGAAAGGCGGAAGCGGGTGGGATGCGCAGGCGCAGTTCAGGAGCGCGCAAGGGAGGGGGTGAAAGCCGGAAGCGGGCGGCGCAGGCGCAGTTCAGGAGCGCGCAAAGGATGGGGTGAAAGGCGGGCGGGAGGCCCGGGCGCAGTTCAGGAGCGCGCAAGGGAGGGGTGAAAGGCGGGCGGGAGGCGCGGGCGCAGTTCAGGAGCGCAAGGGAGGGGTGAAAGGCGGAAACTGGCGAGGCGGGAGGAGGGGAGGCGGGAAGGAGGAGCGAGGGTGTGTGTGGGTGTGGGTGTGTGTGTGTGGGTGGGTGTGTGTGTGTGTGGTGTCTGGAGCCTGGTGGGGTTTGAATGCTGGATCTTCCATGCTGTGTGAGCCTGAAAAAGTTCCTTCATTTCTCCGTGGCCCCATTTTTCAACTGCAAAACGGGATAATACCTGCCTCACAGGGTTGGTTATGGGAATTAGATTGCTTCATATATGCCAACCACTTAGACCAGGGCCTGACACAAACTAAGAGCCCACGAAATGTCAGCTGCTATCAGGGTACTCTGTCCATAATCCTCAAAGACAAAGACATGCATGGCCTTCCCCTCAACTTTCTCTGTCTTCTTTCAGGTCCAGCAGCAACACCCCGCCCCCTTTCGGGAAGCCCTCCCAGCCCCCAAAGAAGCCATCAACACCCCTCTCTGGGCCCCCACCTGTGTCCCCCTCCCAGCATGAATCATGACCTGCCCCTCAATTGTTAAGGTTCAAGCTTACAACTATAGCTGTTGGCTATAATTGTGCTGGGAGGGCTCTGCCCTCCATGCTGGGACTTGCACGTGGCAATGAGAGGACTATGCTCTCTCATTAGTTCTAGGCTTGAACCTGTCCAAACACTAGCTGCTCTCCACATATCCTCCTTTTTCTTGTTTTTAAGCACTTCTGTTTACATCATCAAAAGCTCTAGGTAAATTATTCAGCATAACCAAAACATAAAGAACAAACTTCTGGCTATTAACAAAACAACACAATGCCAATGCAAAACCAAATTACAGACATGTTAACATTTTCAGACATTCCACCCAGAGTCCTTAGATTTAGCTCCGCAAGATTTTACAGAAAACTGGCAGTTCACCAATGCTAGCATAGCTTCCATTTCTTGCTTTTCTAACATCTGCTTGGCCTCAGTCGTCATCTTTTTCAGTTGACTCCATGTTGATACCTTGGTCACTTGCATAGTAAGATGCCGCCGATGCGAAGATGTCGTTGATGCAAAACTAGTCCCCTGGATCAGGCTGTTTGGACTGTTGGCCTTGGCACTGAGTTGGCACCAGAACCAGTCAAATCAGGCCCCGGTGGAAGTTTCTCACCAGACCAAAAGTCCCAGGGAGCTATCAGGTCGCACAAGAAAGAAATAACCAAAACCTAGAAACAATGCGACTGCAGCAAGAGCTTACAATCTAGGTCAGAAATAAAAGTTACTTCCTCAAACAACATCAACCACAGCCATTTTTTGCTTTACAGTGGCTTAAACAAAACCTAGGAGATTTCTACCTTATTTTGTATCTCCTATTTTCTACTTTATTTTATTTTCTATTTCTACTGCTTATTTTCTACCACTTACTTTTTACCACTTACTTTCTAATTAAGAAATTTAAAAATGCTCCAATAAGCATTGTTTTTAGGGACCTCCATCCTAGGACCCTGAATTTCCCAAGTTTTACACCGAGCTTCTACCAAACCTCAACTCCTTATCTTACTTTTGCTTTCAGCTTTTATTTTTCTACTTTTGCTTTCTGCACGCCTCACTGGAGCCTCCTTTCACCTTCCAATTGTAGTTCCCCGTATTCAGTCCCTGTTCCCAGAACTCAGGGCCCTGTTCGGGCACCATATATGGCAGGCTGGCATGGCCATGGCATACTCAGCCCCAGATTGTGCACCTTATGTGCCGCGCCAGCTCAGCCAGGTTCAGTGAGTCCCAGTGGGGGCAGTGAAGGATTAGAAAAGACAGACAAGAGAAGAAGGCTGGGTCTCGGTGGGACACTGCCCTCTCAGATGGAAAGAAACAGTGCCACAGACTACAAACCCTGTCTTTATTTTATAGCCAGATTCCACGAGGCAAAGTAAGGGCATGGTCAAGATGTTTACAACATTCTCGTGGGTTTCGATCCTACTCAATTCCATGCACCGGAACTCTATCAAGCCTACATCACTCAGGCTCATGGGGCCACGTGTTTGGACCATAGGTTCAAGCTTACAACTACAGTGGGACCTTGACTTACGAGTTTAATTCGTTCTGAGACCGAGCTCGTTAAGAAACTCGTTGAGGAGCTCGTTAACTCAAGTTACTCTGTCAACTCAAAGCAAAAAATGGGCCGAGAGACAGCTGGTATCTCAAAAAACTCTTAGTCGGGACACAAGTAAGTCAAGGCCCCACTGTATAGCTGTTGGCTATAATTGTGCTGGGAGGGCTCTGCCCTCCAAGGTGGGACTTGCACGTGGCAATGAGAGGACTATGCCCTCTCATTAGTCCGAGGCTTGAACCTGTCCAAACACTGTAGTCGCTCTCCACAATATGATAATAATATGTTTAATTTTGTAAGAAACTCTAAATTGTCTTTTAAAGTGGCTGTACCATTTTTCATGTTGTTGGGTTTTGTTTTTATTTTAGCCATTTTAATAGGTATGTTGTGGTATTTCATTGGTGTGTTAATTAGCAAATTCCTGATGATATATGCTGTGGTGAATCTTTTCATATACTTTTTTGCCATCTCTATATCTTTTTTGGTAAGATGTCTGTCCAGATGATTTGCCCATTTTAAAAATTGGATTGTTTTATTGTTGAGTT